CTAATTTTAGCCAATATTTTTCCAGTATCTCCAATTATAAGTGCAAAATACATACTTTTTCATTTATTCATGCATTCATTAAAAATATGTAACTTTTTGTCTTTAGAGTCACATTATAGTCATTTCTGGAAAGAAAAACACTCTCTTCTCCCCTTCCAAATCAAAGCACTCTTTGTAGCAAAGAATAAATAAATAAATAAATAAATAAATAAATTGAGTAAAACGTCAGATTAACAGTATCCATACCTACAATGCATATAACACATTCTGACCCCCTCCCAGGAGTCTCCTTACCCTCCATCAACAGATGAAAGGTACATTTTATTTTCTGTTCTTGGGGAGCATTATTTATTTTTTTAATTATGCAGATTTTTTGCTTTCTTTTCATCATCTTTTCATTCACGTGAGTGTAGTGAGGGTATATGTTCTTCTTTTGGCCATGCTTAGTACTCTGTAACACTTCATAAAATTTCCACAAATTTTATCTCAACTCCTCCTCCTCTTTCTCCTCCCTTCCTCCTCCTCCTCCTTCATCTTGAGACTGGATCTCCTAATCTCACCCAAATAGGAAGTTCAGTGGCCACTGGTGGACTTGATTCCACTACTGATGGGCATCAAAGTTTTAACCTACTCTGTTTCTGACCTGGGCCAGTTTGTTCTCCTTCAGCAGCCTGGTTCCCTGTCTTGTTCTCAAGGGCTAACTGTATTGGTGACAGACTGAGTGTGGACACCTGATTAGCTTTAGCTCAAGAGATTCACCAGCTTCAGTCTCCCTCAGTAGCCAGGATTATAGACATGCACTACCATGCCTCTCCCTTTAACTACATAATAATATTCTATTACATTCAGATACCATGATTTCTTTAGCCATCCCCTAATCAATAAGTACTCATTTTGTTTTTAAAGTTTTCGCTGTGACAAAAATTGCTGCTACAAATATTTTGCTGTATATATTAGACCTTTGTTTCTGTCTTTGACTTCCTTTTGTTATGTGTTCAGGAATGGAAATGCTGGCTCCAAAAATATAAATATTTTACCTACTTTTTTTTAAACTTTTTGGTGAGGCAATCAGGGTTAAATGACTTGCCCAGGGTCACACAGCTAGTAAGTGTCACCTAGCTGCCTGCAAACATCTCTGGTGGTCCACTTTTCTTATATGATTCTGAGTTGATAATGAGAATAATTGACCCACTAATAACTTAAACTACATAGCACATTGAATCCTTCGCCAGAGCCATTAACAAATAACTCAGCTGATCCATTCAGCATTTGACAGGACCTACAGAAAGGCATGGAAAATAAGTATATAGGATGAGAAAGTTTGAATGGGCAGTATGAGTGGACCTATATTGGTTAGATCATAGATCCACTGGAGTGTTACTATAAGTAAAAAATCACAAATTTGTATATACTAGTAGGAATGAATTTCAAGTACTTAATACAAATATTACAGCAATATTGAATGAGAAAAGGAAGTAGAAGCATTTTGCAAAGGAAAGAAGCAGACAAGGCAAAATGAGGCCATTATTGCTGCTTAGTTATTTCAGTTGTGTCCAACTCCATGTGAATTGTTTTGGGTTTGCTTGGCAAAGATCCTGGAGTTTACCATTTCCTTCTCTAGCTCATTTTGCAGATGAGGAAACTGAGGCAAACAAGGTTAAGTGACTTGCCCAGGGTTACACAGCTAGTACGTGTCTGAGACCAGATTTGAACTCATGAAGATGAGTCTTCCTAATTCCAAGCCCAGTGCCACCTCCAAAAAGTGAGCCTAAGGAGAGCTTTAATTGGAAAAGAGGCTGCCTGGTGGTCAATAGGAATGTGAGCATGAACATACACATAACTCTGTTCCTCTTGTCCTTTGTGATCTTAGTCTTTTCCTTCTAAATCTGTGGCAGCTGGTGGTGCAGTGGATATCACTCTCGGCCTGGAATGAGGAAGATCTCAATTTAAATCTGGCCTCAGACACTTACTAGCTGTGTGAATCTGGGCAAGTCACTTAACCTCACTTTACTTCAAGTTTCCTCAACTGTAAAATGGGAATAATAATAATAGCACCCACCTCACAGGGTCACTGTGAGGATCAAAGAAGATGATATTTGTGAAAAACACTTGGGAGATATTTGCTCCCTTTTCCTCCCCTTCTCCTGAAATCCAGCATCCTTTTGACTGCATCTCTTGGATGTCCAGACTTACAGCCCTATCAGGATCTTTCTTGGTATATAAGTAGATAGATCGTCATGAATTATTCACAGTGAAATCAGGACACAGGTAGATGCATCCTAGTAAGGACAACTGGCAAATTCATTAATGAGGGTATTAGATTTACATTTCTGTTGTCAAGCATTATCATGTGTTTGTATGAACTAAAACCTCTTTCTGTTTGTGCCTGTCAGCAAGTAGTACTGTGTCTCTGTGAATTTAGGCCACGCTTTCCCCCAGATACAGCTTGAGTAAACATAGAGCTCAGTCCATAATGAGCATTACTTTTCAGTGCAATATGCATTATTTTTTCCTTTCAAAGACATGGATGTGGCTGATCTTCAGGAGTACCCTAAATTCAGACCAATTTAGTACATTTGAATGTCTCACTTTGAATTTTGAAGGAAGAACAATTGAACATTTTGAAGATGGATAAAATCTTCTGCTCAGTTTTCAGATTCAATGTCATAAATACAGTGGAGGCTTTTATTTTTAGGGAGTTGAGAAAAATTCCAAGAAAAGGAAGAACAAGTATAGACAGTGTCCTGAATGGAACCAGGTCATGGGCTCAGGAGACAAGTGCTTCTGTTGGGCATTAAATGAAACATATCTTTTGCCATTGTGATCCTCATTTGAGTGTGGCTATTATCTGGAAGCAATATGCTATTTTATATAGACCAGGTAGGTCTATCAGAGAGACAGAAACTGCCAAAGTTCTGGTATACTTGTTCCAGGACCATAAGAGGTACTGTAACTAGATTTACTTATTCTTGGCCATAAGAGCCCTACTGACACTATCATTGATATTACTATATTTCCAATCTGCCAGAAACAAAAGTCCAGTATACACCAAGATGTTTTGTATCAGTTCTTTTTGTGGTTTTGTTGTGTTTGGCCATTTCAGTTGTGTATGACTTTTTGTTACCTCATTTGGGGGGCTTTCTTGGCAAAGGTACTGGAGTGGTTCGCCATTTTTTCCACTAGCTCATTTTACAGATAAGGAAACTGAGGGAAACAGGTTAAAGTGACTTGCCCAGAGTCACACAGCTAGTACATGTGTAAGGCCATATTTGAACTCAAGAAGGATGAGTTTTCCTGACTTTAGGCCCTGTACTCTATCCATGGTGCTAGCCATAGCTAGCCTTTTTGTGATAGCAAAGGACGTGTGTGTGTGTGTGTGTGTGTGTGTGTGTTGTGTGTGTGTGTGTCTAAATATCTTGAACTTATTATTTATAGAAGCGTATTTAAAAAAATATCCTAGGGTCAGCTAGTTCACACAGTGAATACAGCACCAGCCCTGGAGTCAGGAGGACCTGAGTTCAAATCTGGCTTCAGACACTTGATACTTACTAGCTACATGACCCTGGGCAAGTCACTTAACCCCATTGCCTAGCAAAAACAAACAAACAAACAACAATCCTAGCAGGGAAAAATTAATCATATCACTATTTAGAGAAGTGATTTCTAGTTTAAAATCTATAGAGAATGGTACTATAAAATATTTTATCTTATTTTCACATATGATTATTTTCATGTATATGTATATATGCATTGTAAATTCATGGTTATTGTGTTTTACTATTATCAGGTATTTGTTTATGAATCATTAAATATTAAAACCTATATATCTTAAACATTGTTTGAATTAAATATCCAAAATAGCAGAAATAATGCCACACAAGCCAAAATAGAGATCTGTTTATTTCTGTTTTAAATTCAGTCATTGTTTTAGAAAGCAAAGGAACCCACCCTTTTCATTCTTTCCCTCTCCTCTATATTCACACCATCACCTTCCCCTCTCTTTTGTAATAGCTTCTTAATTGGCTTCTCTGCCCCTTCATTCCCATCTTCCAAACAGCTGCCAAAGTTATTAAGGCATAGCTTTGACTCTGACATTCTCCTTCTCAAGTGTCTTCAGTGGGACACATTTCTTCTATCACAAATGACAACGTCCTCCCTTTGGCATTGTCCTTTTTATTCTGGCTCTAAAAGAACTTGTTATACTGACTATACTTCTCCTCGAACATTCAGTGTTACTGTCAAACTGGCTGACTTGCTTTTCACCATATAAGACACTTCATCTCCCATCCACATACATGTCTTTGTCCAGATTTCTCCTCATACCACATGCACACTCCCCTCTATCTCTGGGAATCCTTAGCTCCCTTCAAAGCTTAGCCAAAATGCCACCTCCTACATGAAGTCTTTCTGGTTCCCCCAATTGTTAGTGCTTTTTCTTGTCTTTGTATCCTCAGGACCTATCCCAGTGTCTGACACATAGTAGGTGCTTAGAGAATGCTTGTTAATTCATTTGTATGTACTTTGCACTTACTTAAAAATATGTTGGATCATCTGAATAGTATGTAAATTCATTGGATGTAGGAACTCTTCTGTTTTGGTCTTTGTGATTGTGTTATGCATAGTAGGCATTTAATAAATGCATGTTGAATTGAATCAAACCTTTGTTTAGCTGGAGACTTGGGATCAAAGGTTTGTGTTTCAATTCCAATTGTGTTATGATGTCCTCTCCCCCACCCAGTTTGTATGTGAGAAACATGAAATGCATCCTCTGTTATGCTTTTTAAGGTATGATTTTCCCCAACACCCCCATTTTCATTCCACATAGATCGAAGAGTAGCCCCTCATTCTCACCATTGCAACCCTCTCTGGCTCTTTATTTTTCTACTTTTGCTTTCAAACACTACACATATATGTGTTGCCCTATCACTGGGGTATTCTGAGGCTCTCAATTTCATACAAGTAGAAGGCAGCAAAGTTCAATCTTTCAGCAACTTCTTCCCTGCTATTTATTTTGTTTCATTACTCATTTCCTCCCCTTGTTCCATGATGTTTTCCTCTGGTATAATTCACAGCCTCTTTAGAATCTACATGGCTCCATCTCCTTTATCTTCAAAGTGCTTAAAACATTCAAGCAACCTTCATTGTTTTCATATCTAAAGAAAATGTGAATAATAAAAAAATTGGAAAGTGCCATTGTGCCATTGTTTCCATTCACTCTACCCATTGAATGTGATACAGACAGCATCTCAGGCCTCAGGTATCCTATGTGATGAAAAAAAAAGCCCAAAACCACAAAACTTCCTATCTACTCCTGACTTTTAGTGGGCAAATTCAGGAGAAAAAAAAAGATGGTAATCTTTGTGTGAATATTTATATGTGTATTTGTCTTAAAAATGATTGTAACTTGTAGCAGAAAAGGAAACTATAACCTGTGTTAGGAAAAACATATAATTTCCTAAATACTTAAAATGAATTTTTAACAAATAGTTTAATATTTTTGTATACATAGGATGCAACACATGAAGTAGTATGGCATAGTAAATAAATACCTGGACCTGGAAACAGGAAGACCTAGGTTCATATTTCCCTTAGGCAATTACTAGTTTTATAACCCTGGGCAAGTCAGTTACTGGGTCAACAGGTAATCAGAGCCTTCCTTCCCTCATCTGTAAACTAGCACATACCTGACTTTGTTGTTATGAAAATCAAATAGTATCACATAATTAAGAACTGTTAAAAGCTCATAAAAGTATGAACTCCATCTTCAACCTTATACTTACTAGTTATCTCTCCCTAAAACACAGGATATTAACATAATAGCACAAAAACATTTTGAAAACAAAGTCCAATATTCTTCTTTTTCTTTTTCCTCTTTAGTTTCTGTAACATTTTGCACTATTGATCTCCCTGTCTTGAAATTCTCCTCTTTCTTGTCTTTTCCCATCTTACCTTTTCCAATTTTCCTTCTCCTACTTTTTCTCTCTCCATTTGTCTGTCTGTCTGTCTGTGTCTCTGTCTTTCTTAAGTAAATGATGTTTTCTCTAAGTCTCCAGCACTTAATACCTCTTCACCTTGGACAACTGACTAGCCCTTTCTAAGCCTGTTTCCTCATATGAAAACTGAGGGTTGAACAAGAGGACCTCTAAGGTCCCTTCTTGTTCTAAATCTATGATTTTATATAACAGAATTAGATGAGGAAAACCTAGGGCTCAGAACAGAAAAAGAACCTTAGAAATCATGCAAGCTGACCCTCCCAGTTCAATATTTGGCTTAAAAAAGGGAAGACTTGAGATTTGGAGGAATGGGAAAGGGGATTTGATCACTGTCTTTAAATATTTAAAAAGCTAGCATGTGGAAAATAGGTTAGATTAGTCTGTATGTCTTCAGAACTTATAACTTGAGCCAAAGGGGATAAGTTGCAGAGAGACAGGTTTCAGTTTAAGACATGGACATTTTTTCCTACAAGAAAGGAATGAAAATCTATTAATTAAGCACTAATGACACAGTGGATAGAGCATTGGGCTTAGAATCAGGAAGACTCATCTTCATGAGTTCAAATCTGGTGTCAGATACTTACTAGCTGTGTGACCCTGGGCAAGTCACTTAACCCTGTTTGCCTCATTTTCCTCGTCTGTAAAATGAGCTGGAGAAGGAAATGGCAAAACACTCCTGTCTTTGTCAAGAAAACCCCTAATAGGATCACAAAGAGTTGGACACAACTGTAAACAACTGAATGACAGCAACAACAAAACTTATGTTCTGAGCACATTTTCACTTGACAGCTTCCCCCAGATGGCAAAGGCTGTCACATGAGGGAGGAAATGAATTCCCCATCACTGGAGGTGTTCAAGGAACAGCTAGGTGTCTGTTTGGCTGAGATGTTGCCAAAGGGATGCATGAACAAGAAAAGGGATTGGATAAGATGAACTCTGTGATCCCTTCCAACTCTGATGTTTGATGACTCTAAGGGATACCATCCTTTCCTTGGAATCTCTATGCAATCATCCTTTTCTCTTTTATTTTCACTGCTACCAACCTAGTGGTCTAAATAGATAGTAAGCTGTAACTGGTCTTCCTCAGTATGGGCTCCAGTAAAACTCAAATTCCTTATTGTACCCATTACACACTATTCCTACCTACCTCCATGCTTTTGCTCATGTTGTTTTACACCATCTGGAGTGCTCTCTCCTTTTTCAACATCCATACAATTTTATACATCTCTCCAATCCCAGATGAAGTCATCTATCTCTTCTGTGAAACCTTTGTAGACTTCTCCAATGCACGACAATGTCTCTGTTACTCCTGTCACATTTGTAATTAGAGTTAGACAATTTAGGTACACCATGGAAATCACAGGTCCTCTCTCCTCCTTCCCCAAGATTCATTCTCTCTCTCCTTCTCTTCCTTTCTCTCTCGGTCTCCCTTTCTCTCTCCACCAACACACACACACACACATACACACACACACACACACACACACACACACACACAGAGCAAGCTGTAGTATTCACTATTCCTCATAGACAATATTCCTTCCATCTGTACCTCGCATTTATAATGAACTTCCTCCTTACCCCTCTCACTTGGTTCCTTTAAAACCCTTCAAAACCTGGCCCCTTTATACAGCTCTAATTATTTTATGCTTTACTTCCTTTCGCACACTCTACAATTCTGAATTTACTTAAACACAACACTTCATTCCTTTGCACTACGACTTTGAACTTGCTGTCCACCAATCCTGGTATTTCCTACCCTCTAATCACCATCTGTTAGTTTCCCAGCTTCCTTGCTTGAGTCAGCTCTAATTCCACTTCCTGCAGGAGGCCTTTCCCAGTCCCCTCACCTGTTACAGACTTGCCTTCTAAGCTTACCTTTGATCTACTCTCTCTATATCTAGTTATTTACATGTCATCTCTTCCATTAGAATGTGTCCCTCTTGAGGGAAAGGGGCTGTCCTTTTGCCTTTCTTTGTATTCCCAGGGATTAGAATAGTTTTTTTGGCATATAAAAAGTGCTCAATAAATGCATGTTGCTGACTAAACTCTCCTACATGAAACTTTTCCTGATTCCAGTTAATATTACCTCATGAAATTATTTCATATTTACCCAATATGTGCATTGTATTTACTTATATGTCTACTGGTTATTTCTCTAGATAGAATGTAAGATCTTTGAATATAAGAAATTGTTTTTCTTTTTTTTCCTTTTTATCCCCAACAAATTAGTTAACAACATACATCTGTTTTTTTTTTTTTTTACATATCTTCTCATCATCTCTACAAGTAGTCCTTAGTCTCTTTAGGGGCAGCGATTATGTGTTATGCTTCTTTTGTATCCCCTACAATGCCCGGCATGATGAAAGTGATTTAAAAGGCTCTTGATAAATATTTAGAATCATTGAAATTTCAGAGCTGGAAGGGATCTTAAAGATTATCTAGTCTAAATTTCTCATTTAAAAGGTGAGGAAACAGAAGCCTGGAGAGTTTGAAAAAAGGTCATATAGCTAATTAATAGCAGAGCCAAAAACTCAGACACAATATTCCTTTGATATTCCTCAAGTTGTTAATCGATATTCTCTGTAGCAAGCTGGAATCTCTTGCTCACTAATCACCAAAACCATCTCACCAACTTCTAGTTCTCAATAACCAATCAAAAATCAATCAATAAGCTTATTCTTAAAAATCTATCTTACTATGTGTCAGACAATATAACAAGCACTGGGGATACTAAAATTAAAAATAAGCAAAAAAATCTTCCCTGCCCTCCAAGATCTTCCATTCTAAAGGTGAAAACATGTAGAAGACTTACTCAAGATACATACAGAGCTGATACAAGGTAACCTTAGAGGTTAGGTTAGGGGATCAGGAAAAGCCTCCTTCAGAAAGTGTCCTTTGAACTGAGTTTTTAAGGAAACCAAGTATTTAAAGAGACAGAGCTTAGAGGAGAGAACATGGGAATAGTTTGTAGAAATCCATGGAGAAGGGAGATGGAATTTGTGTTACCCTTTACCCAGGATGCTACTGAAGAAGCTGAGTGAGAGGAGAGGAAGTTCAGGTACCAATTATCAATAGCTAGATGGCTACAATTAACAATATTAACTGAAGATTGTTATTAAAGATTCTGTGGCTGGGAATGAAAGGTGATATTGTAAAAGTAAAGATAAGACAAAAGTTTTACCTAATCTAATTTATATATTCAATGACATCTCAATTAAATTACCAAAAAACATTTTACTGAGAAAAAATAATAACAAAATTAATTTGGAAGAATAAAAGGTCAATAATATCAAAGAAACTAATGGAAAAAAAATGTAAAGGAAGGAAGTTTAGCAGTACCAGATCTTAAACTACATTATAAGGCATTAATTATCAAAACTATCTTGTACTGGCTGAGAAATAGAAAGGTAGATCAGTGAAACAGAGCAGACATGCAATGTACAGCAGCAAATGACTATAGTAACCTTGTGTTTGACAAGTGTAAAGACTTAAGTTTAGGGGTTAATAATTCATTATTTGTTTAAAAAAATGTTGGGAAAGCTGGAAAGTAGTCTGGCAGAAATTGGGTATAGACCAGTTTCTTCCACTATTTACCAAGATAAGGTCAAAATGGATACATGCTCTAGACATAAAGAGAGATATGATAAAATATGCAGGGCAGCTACATGGCACAGTGAATTGTCTCTGGCTTTGGAGTCAGGAGGACCTGAGTTCAAATCCAGCTGCAGACACTTAACACTTACTAGCTGTGTGACCCTGGGCAAGTCACTTAACCTCTATCGCCTCACCAAAAAGCAACACATATATAAAAAAAGAGAAAATATGAAGAATGTGGAAAATAATACCTGTCAGACTTATGGATAGGTGAACAATTTATGAATAAACAAGAGATAGAGAGCAGCGTGAAATAAAATGGATAATTTAGATTGTATTAAATTTAAAAAATTTTTTTGTATAAATAAAACAAATGTAACCAAGATCAGAAGGAAAGCAAAAAATTGGGGAAGAATTTTATAGACTTTCTCAGATGAAAGTCTCATATCTCAAATATATAAAGAATATTGTCAAATCTATAAGAATATTAGTAATTTCCCAATTTATAAATGGTTGAAGGATATTAACAAACAGTTTTATGATGAAATCAAGACAATTTATGGTCACATGAACAATGGTCTAAATCATTATTGATTAGAGAAGTACAAATTAAAATAATGTTGAGATATCATTTTGTACCTACCAGATTGGCTTAAATGATTGCATGGGAAAGCAAAAAATGCTGAAGGAGATGTGGAAAAATTGGAACACTAATTCATTGTTGATAGAATTGTGAACTGATCCAACTATTTTGAAGAACAATCTGAAATTATGCCCAAAGATTTATTAAATAGCCCATATCCTTTGACTCAACAATACAGCTACTAGGTCTGTTTCCAAAGATGATTAGGTAAAAAAGAAAAGAACCTCTATGGTCTAAAATGTTTATAGCAGCTTTCTTTGTCATGGCAAAGAACTGGAAATTTTGGGGATGCCTGTCAATTGGAGAATGGCTGAACAAGTTGCATTATAAGATCATGATGGAATTCTACTGTGCTATAAGAAATTATGAGCTTGATGATCTCAGAAAAACATCAGTGGACTTGTATAAATAATGAAGAGTGAAATGAGCAGAACTAAGAGAATGTTTTATACAGTAACAGCAATATTGTTTCAAGAACAACTAAGTCATTTTGACTATTATAAATATTCAAATTAACTACAAAAGACCTGTGAAGGAAGATGTTATCTGCATTCAGCAAAAGAACTGATAAATAGATGGATAGAGTGAGATATATATATTATATATATATATATATATTATATATATGTGTGTGTGTGTGTGTGTGTGTGTATATATATATGTATACATATATATACATATACACACACACATATAAGCATGTACATATACATATGTACATACACACATCTTTAGGGTGGGGGAAGGGAAGAAAAAATGAAATAAAAATAAAGTTACATGATAACTTTATTATAATTATATATAATTATATATATATATATATATATATAATATATATATATAAAAAAAAGGACTAGCAAGTTGCATTGCAATAGATTTTAGGTTTCATGTACAATCATTTCCCCCCTATTCTACTATGTTATGGAAATTCTTGTTGTATTTCTTAAGTTCAGAATAAAATAAATAAAATTTAAAAAAATTTTTACCTTCAGTAGTAACCTTCCTTCCCTCTTTTCTAGTCACCTTTTCTCAATCTCTTTACCAATTGCCTCACAGTCTATACCAGAGATCACTGTCTGGAGGGACTTCTCCTACCATGAACTTCCCCACATCCGTATTTGTGACTGATAAGTAGAAAGTACTTAATAAATGTTTGTTTTATGGAGGTTTTTGTATGTGTGGCACTCATGCAGGGTAAAGAGTTCCAAAGAAGACTGAAGAAGGCTGGCACTGTCTAGCTCTTTCTGGCTCTTTTGCCCCTCATGGAGGACAAGACATCCATCTCTACCATGAGGAGAGTCCCATTCCAATGAATTTGGGACTGGGAGTTTACATATTTTATGCAGAAGAAATCAAAGCAAAATGAACATTAAGTCAGTTTCAAATAGGAAAACCAGGAGAGGCAATGTGACTAAATGGTAAGGAAGTTGAAAGTATTGTGTAGCAGGTGAAAGACAAGATTTGTTCTTGACTCTTGGTAACAATAATGGGGAGTGCTTTGAGTCTCAGATCTTGTTTTCTGGTCCTGCCTTTTTCCATCCCTCCTTTCCTCCTGTTCTCACTTCTTCTCTTCCTCTCTTCTTCCCTCCCTATTTTCCTTCCTTCCTTTCTTTCTACCTCCCTCTGTCTTTCTTTTCCTCCCTTCCTCTTTCCCTCTTTTCCTTTCTTCCTGAGTATTAAAGATAGCTTTATCTGACTATTCCTTCTAGTAAAATTTTTTTTGAAAAAAATATAAAAAAGCAATAAGCAAAATCAATTAATACATTGAAAAATATTTCACAGTCTCCCATCTCTATAAAGTAGTAGAGTAAGGGTGTCTTCTCATATCTTTTCTTTTTAGGCCATGTTTGTTCTTTGTGATTTTACAACTTTCACTTTTGATTATTTTGTTGTCCTTTCCAATAAGACTGTTATATTATGTTGTATGAAGTGCTCTTGTAATCAGCATGTATATTATTTTCTTGGCTTTGCCTACTTACTCTGCATTGAATAATAGAAGTCTTTGAATTTTCTTTGTAGTCATCATAAACATCTTTATTTTCAAATGAATGACATCTTTTTTCCCCACT